TCTTTTAACACCCTGTGCTTTTAAATGATGGGCATTTAAGTTTCTTGAGGACAAGTTTTTCTCTTCGATGGCATATTTGCATCCACCTGCATTTTAAAAGACACGCAACGCACAGCACAAATCATAAGAGATAGGCATCTAAAATGTTTACTATGTTGGCCTTATGTAATGGGGGTGCACCCACAAGTGGATATAGCGATAAAGGTTTGTATCCAAGTTTTTTGCTAACTATTCGATGAGCTACAAACTCATTTTGATTTATGGAAAATAGAAACTTTCGGGCAATAGCTTTTTTCTCTAGTGCGGAGTAGTAATTATATGCATGTCTGTTAGTATGTAGTAGAATACAGGCATGTATATTTGAATTTAAATATATGTTTCTGTTGAGCTGATCTTAAAATATACAAATATCGTATTTGTAAATATTGCTATACTATGTGATACTCGCTAATTCAACCTTGTCTGATTACAAATGTATGACCTACCCATATGAATTGGTCCAATACATTTGATGTTATTCTTGATGCGGTATTTTTGTTAAATTTAGTACAATTTATACCTTGATGCTCTCGGCTAAAACACGTTTTGAGGAGCAGGTGCTATACGTGCCGACGTGTAATAAGACCCCTTCGTTATTTTTAAATGTAAACAAAGGTCTTTGAAAAACAAGTAACTGAAACAAAACTATTGTATTAAACTATTTTTATTGAATTCTCCTCACTTTTCCGAGCTTAATTTTTACTTTATATGATACAGTGAATTTTTCTTAGTATCAACCATTTTAGGTCAACTGCTTGAGCAGCTAAATAGATAATTTTGTTTGTGTCATTCTTAAATGTCCCCTTCTTCGATTGCCATTCATATTCACCTGCGCATTAAGGGAAATTAGCGCTAATAAATCTTTGCGATTTATTTTACCTTTATCGCAGACATTAAGATAAATCTGATTAAAAAGAAAATCATAAATCCCAATAAAACTGAGGCCCAAGCCCAAGACCAGACCCACGCCCACGGCCGCGGTCTTGTCGCATGCCTAATTGCGTTTTGCGTCCCTCCCTTGGCACAGGCTCTTTACGCTCTATAGTTTAGGGGATGGACTAATCCCTTCGCATTCTAAAGGGTTGGATGCCCACCCACATCTGAATCCGAACACGAACCCGAACCTGAACCCAGGGGCGACCTACAGACATAATACAAACGCGACGAGTCATCTGCTGCTCGTCTGCGTGCGTAGCGAAGCTGCAATCTCAACGTGATAAATTATGGCTATTTGAATTCCTTTCACAGGCTTCGCCTTCTATATTATTGCTGGTGTTGCTTTTGGCATTTGTGTTTGTGAAAGTAGGGCCTGGCCTGCCAGCCTGGAAATGAAGCGCATGAGTTATGAACCCGGGCAGCGCTGCGTTGCGTTGCGTTGCGTATACGCCGCGTTCGCCAAACACATAATTGCCGCTAAGATTTACGTTAGCCCTTTAAATTTATGTTACAAATTGCGCCAACTTTATGTTTATTACGTGCAGAATAATAGGCTTTTGTTGCAGCCAACTACCAACTGCCAACAGCCAACAGGCAAACGTAATGCCTCTATGCCACCCCCTCTACCTGGGCACCTTCCTCAACCGGGGCGTATCCATTCACGTGACGGCAACCCTGCTCGTACTCGGCCCACGAGAACTTGGCATCATAAAAGAGGTATTATCTTCACACATAATTGTATAAATAATGCACTTTTTAGCGTTAACTTCATTCAGCTCAATTTATACATGTATATATATATATATATATATATTTTTATATTTTTTATGAATGCACGGCGAGTCGAAGCCGCCGTATTGTGTTCATTATTAATGGCGCTGATAACACCAAAACGTACTTAGCCCAGACAATTCGACGCAATTAAAGCTCCATAAACGAAGCCGATTGCGCGACATTGCCGTTGGGTCATGAATGGGCTAATTTATGCATGTATTCTCTTCGGTAAAGACAGAATCTTTCGGGCTGGCTCATTGCATATGAAGCTCAACTCGTATTAAAACTATGCACACGACAAAAAAAAAAGAGAGGGAGAGATTGTGAGAGTGAGAGAGTGTAGACCTGGTCAATAACAAGTAATTACCAATCAATTATTGAACGTTTGCATTTCTTTTTACTTTATTGCAAATTAAATATCATGAAAATCGAATTGCGAATGCTACTGTAACTAGTTATGAATATTGCCATTCAACTAAGTACTCAATTAAAAATGTATTCGTTCGTCTTATCATATATATATATAAATTAAAACAAACCGTAAAACTTTTAGGCACACAGTTTTTAAATTCACAAATATTCAACTTGCAGAATGATACTCGAAATGTGATGAACGTTTATTTAAAAAAGTATATGCTACGCATTCAGCCACAAAAATAAAAATAAAAAAAATGTGAAACTCGAGAGTGCTTCACTCGAGAATGCCCTGTAGTCAGTCCAATGAAACAAAAAACAGATTTGATTAAAGTTCAATTTACTATAAAGCGAAAATGCCATATCTAAACCACCAAAAATTTGAACCAGAACTCGAAACAAAATAAATCCTGATTTCGCTTGGCTTTTGAAAGCATTAAGTATATTTTTATAATCTAAAATATTTGATTCTCACATTTTATGGTTGTTGAGGCACTGTAAATAAAAACGTCGACTGCCGTGTTTGCTCCCAATTTTTAGACATGTGTTTAATGTTGTTGTGCATGTATGTGTGCATGTTTAACACGATATGATACGGCATGAGTCTGCTGCAGTGCAAACAATGAAACATCCCATCTAAATGGTTCAAACAAATTTTTCTCTGTACATTTTTCATTATTAAACTGCGTTTTAATTGAAATATGCATTATATTATCTACATTCAATCATTTTTTTGCTCAATTTGGAAACTAGCAAGTCGTGATTTTTAATAATTTTTAAATAAAGTAAAAAACATAAAGCAAAATTGTTCGTTTAAAATAATTTAGGGATATACATATACCTAGGTACATACATACACAAGGCTCGTGTGCACATTCATTTAATGGATGAGTATTTTTTGTACTCGTAGGTACATGGCACATATTTGGGCCAAAGGCAAACATTGAGCAAAGTGAAAAATGTCGGACTAGGATTTCGTTTAGTAAGACTTTTCTTGCTTCTGCTGGTTGTCACGTACATGGCTCGAACCAAAAACAACAACATGGCCAACAAAAAATGTAAACAACACACACATAATTGCGGATCACGAAAAGCGCTTTGAGCCAAAAGCCAAGAAGGAAAAGTGTGCAGCGAACCTTTGTTGATTACATTTCGTAATTAAGGAGATTTTAATATGCCACAAAACGGCATAAAACTAATGCATAATTTTACAACACATCTGAGTACGCACGCACTCACTCATCAGGATTCCTCCATGTGTGTGTATGTGTAAGTGCGTGGGTGGGTGCAACATATGTATTGTCAGCCATTTCGGTGCCGAAAAGAAACAAGGACATAGGTAGGTTAGCCCAAAGCTGAGGAAACCTATGTAAACAAAACTCAGAAATCCGCTGACTGTTCCGAGTTTGTATTTGGGGCCCTTCTTGCCTCGCATGTCGGTTCGCCTTTTTTATGGCATATTGTAAAGTATCTTGTTAACATATTTGAGGATTTAACTGAGAAAACTACACAATCAGCGTACACCGCATACGTGCACATGTGGGGGAATCGCGGGGTCGCTCTGTGCAGCTTTTACCGGTGCAGAGTTGAGGTAAAAAGCAAAAGTACAAATTAATTAGTTGGCCAAGATTCAAAGAGCAACAACGCAACATGAAATGAGACGGCTGCCAAGGCAAATGCTACATATAGATGTATATTCCACTCACCGCGTTAAGTTTGCGCACTCTGCCAATTTGAAATTGCTCAAATGGGGTAACAAAAGCGCCTAGTCGAAGTGAAGTCAAGTTAAGTCAAACCAACAAGCGAACTTCCTTCTAACTAATAAGCCGGCAAAACCAACTTTGTGGCAAGGGGTGTGGCTGCCCGAGGGATAGGATGTCAACATCAGGCAGGCAACATCTGCATTTCCGAGGAGTAGTCCAGCATATTACAAATCATTTAATTTGCATAAATTTTGCATTAACATTCAAGTCCGCTAGGGGATCCTCTTAATTGGTATAACGTGCTGGCTGTTTGTTTATTTACTTCTCCTGAGCACAGCATGTATCTGCCCGCTACCGACCCTCGCACCGCCAACCACGCAGTAGATAGTGAATGCATATTCATAAGATACACATGTATCTATAACATGCAGTTAATGCACTCATCATGGCTGCAGAACTTTAAGTGCAGATAACTCTCAATCTTTATTTTATTATAGGTGTATTGTATTATATACAAAGTACAATAATTCATTGCCAAAATCCAATTGTAATAATTATATTATTATTATTATTATATTATTATTAAATAGGTAAAACGGCTATTATGTATTTGTGCAAATGTGTGTAACAGGCAAAAAGCATCTCACATTCTTGATCAGCATTACAAGCCGAGTCGATCTAGCCATGTCCCTGATGGACGGACGTATGTATGAATGCACGACTTTTAGAACCTGCAAGATCTAGAAGCTTATAATTTTGAACGTAGGTCCGCCTAGATAACTTACCCCGTTTCTAAGCAATCTATAAAAGTGGATATCGAAATCCTGTTTTAAGCGCAAGTCTATTAATTTTTAAGAGCTAGTAGCTTCTTGAAAAGTATATTCAGATCCTTTTATAGCTATTGCAAATTTTGTGTTACTGCTACTGCTCGTAGCGCGAGCTACATTTGGTGTTGGTGTTGAACAGGGTTGAGGGTCTCCCCTAGTCGGGAAGTCCCAACTAGAGCCTCTTACTTGTTTTCATTAATATTACCTTTAAGCCCTTACACTCACCTCTGCTGGCTCAGACGCGTTTCCTGCTTCGTTTGAAGTTACTAATTTATAAAACTCATCAGTCAAGTGCTCTTTGAGTTCTACGTAAAACTGTGTTCAACACTTCTAAATTATGAGCATACACTAAAACGTCGCTAGAGAGCGAGGAGATCTTAAGAGGACACGTCGCGCGTAGCACCTTAAAATGGCTCTTGCCTGTTAAATTATTCCAAGCACTGCACTCAAAACTTTGAAGCCCACGGGCGCGCTCCAAAGTAAACTATAGACTGACTTACCCTGGCCAGAGCTCGAGCATAGTGTCAACTCGCATTCTTAGGAGGTGTTCGTTGTGCTACGAATTAAGCAATTACAATTTTTTATTCACAATAATCAAGTTTGCAGGAAAAATTCTGTGGCAGGGCTTTCTATAAGACATCTACAACAGTTAAATGCTCTAATTACATAAATAAAAAAAAAAAATGAGGTGTGTGGTAACTCTTGTTCATTTCTTTAATATTGCCAGCATGTGTTAAATAAACCAAAGCAAGCTATTGGACATAAAAATCATAATAAAACAAAAACAATACCAATAACAAACATTTACTCCATAAAATTTGTTACGGAATATTTAATGAATACATGCAAGAAATTCAAATTAGTTGTGGGGGCGTAACTGAAGTTCTGCAATCGCTCACAGTCAAGCCATATTGCAAACCTACTTAAAATGCCAAGAGAAGATTGCTGCTCGATGCTGCTGGCGCTAGTTGCGCGTTTTCTTTGGTTGTGCAGCGTTGCTGGACTTGAGAATGGCTTGGCCAGAACGCCACCATTGGGCTGGATGCCGTTCGAGCGTTTCCGCTGTGTGACTGATTGCGTAAAGTTCCCGAGGGATTGCATCAGGTGAAATTGCAAAGCTTACGGATAAGGCTGTCAACTTTTTGGTCATATTCTCCGTGTACAGTGAGTCGCTCTTTATGCGTACTGCTGACCTCTTGGTGTCGGAAGGATACTCGGCGGTTGGCTATGAATATTTAATAATCGACGATTGCTGGATGGAAAGACAGCGCCACGAAATCACAAAGGAGTTGATGCCCGATCGAGAACGTTTTCCCAGGGGTCTTAACTTTCTGTCAGATTACGTGAGCCAAAAATGATAGACAGGGTTTTTATATAATACTGTTATCTACCTAACAGATACATAATAAAGGTCTAAAGTTTGGCCTATATCACGATATCGGGGAGAGAACTTGCATGCATTTTGGGCCCGGTGCGAATGGATACTACGCATTGGATGCTAAAACCTTCGCGAACTGGAACGTGGACTATGTCAAATTGGATGGTTGCTTTATAAAGAACATTAACCTGGACATTGCCTACCCAGCATTTGGCCGGGAATTGAATAAGACGGGCCGGCCAATGGTCTACTCTTGCAGTTGGCCATACTATCAAAAACACGTTAGTTTTGTTTTTCTTTATGAAATTTCGTTATGCAAGACCATATATTTCAGCCTAACTACGAATTGATCAAAAAACACTGTAATCTATGGAGGTTCGCTGATGATATTAGAGATGCATTCGATTCTGTGGGCAAGACCATGTACAATTACTACAAGCAGCAGAAAAATCTGACAAAACATGCTGGTCCCGGACATTGGAATGACCCAGATATGGTGCGTATTGCAATATTTCAGTAAGCTAGTACAGTATAATATCTATTGGATGATGAATCAGCTAGTGCTCGGAAACTATAGACTTAGCTACGACGCAAGTCGTCTGCAACTGGCCATATGGGCTATAATCGCGGCTCCGCTTATTATGACGAATGACTTACAGACAGTACGACCTGCAATCAAAACATTATTACAAAATCGGTACGTATTTCTTAAGATTAGCTTCGCAATCTTTTTGACAAGAGGTGCGTACATATTTTGCAGGGCTATTATTGAGGTCGATCAGGATCCACTCGGCATACCTGGTCGTTGCGTATATATAGCAGGTAGCTTTCAGGTAAGTGTACAAAGTTTTCATTTAAGTTCCTAGCTATAATTAGGGCGGCGAATTAGATATGGGTGCGCCCTGTTATGCCGTTTAATAATATTGGCGCACACTCATATGCTGTGGCTTTCGTTAACATTGGAAATTACGAACCCTGCCCACTGTGTCCCCAAACATATGAAGTTGTTTTGAAACGCTTGGGATTTGAAAATGATTTGGGTTATAAGGTCATTGTAAGTATATCATTAGCTATCTTGAAATATACATTACATTTTTATATACAAATATTGTTTACCCAAATATTTGAGGATTTGTTTGGCTCTATGGAAGATCTTGGATTGTTCAAGCCAAAAGATAAATTTATAACCCGAGTCAATCCATCAGGAGTAACGTTCTTCAAGTTCACGTCTGTAGATATGTACTAAACTCCTAGCATACACTCTACATAAATCAATAAATTATAATATATGTTTTCAATATTATAAATAATATAAAGTATAAAATTATATATATGCATATATACATACATATAACTAACCTAAAAACGAGCTTTAGTTTTAAACAATTTATTTATTTGATGTTTTCTGTAAACTTACATATTCGGGCATAGTATTCTGCTGATTTAAGTTTGTCCTATATGTAAGTATGACTAGCTGAACGTACACACGAAATTGCCGGCTAAAGTTCCGGCAAGGAAATTTTCTCTTTTGGTAAATTTGTGCTCTTAGCTAGAATCTGTGAGTGGCATTAAGAATGAGGGAAATTTAGAGGGAATCATTTGCATTTTATAAGCTCCATGGGTGGCTTTTATTGCCAGAACTTGTAAACATGACATTTCCATATTTATCTCCATGAGACGGCGTTACTCAGCGTCGCAACATTCTAACACATCTGCACGAAATCCTCACCGGTTTCACTCCTGTATCCTTGTAAAAAAAGTGAGTAGCAACACGAAGGACAACAGCTAAAAGGTGAACTGTGAGCTGAAAATGAGAAAAAATTTACATAATTTGAACATGGGAGTTATATTTAATTTTGAATAATTTCAAGCTTTGTTGCAAATAACTTACATCGATTTATTTTATAAATCTATGTATATATAAAAAAATACATATATATATAAATATATATATGTTTTTTCTCTCTCTATTTCTCTCCCTCTTAAGTGTGAGTTGAGCTTACAAGCGAACGTCTGTTTAATCCATAAATTTTAGTAGATATTGTATTTGCAGCTCGGGAGCGTGGAGTAGCGCCAGGGAGCTTGCTGTGACCGATGAACGACAGGGCCGTTAATGCCATCGAGGATGCTGTTAGCTTCTGTCATGTTCTTTTATTACCTCGAAATCAATATTTATTAGAGGATAATGGCTCAGCTCCCAGCAGCCTTAGTAAGGCGCAGGTGAGCTACACTCCCTGGCCGCCTCCTTTTTGATGTTTGCCTGGCGACAGGGGAACGAATTTGGTGGGATGCCCAAATTGAATATCATCACTTTACCAGTAAGGTTCATCCCTTGATCAAATTTGGTCAATACATTTTCAGAAATGTTGAGCTTGACAGAAGGCTAATAAATTGCCAACACATAGATACTTAGTTCTAAGAAGTATCAACATGATGGCATATTGTCAAAAAGCCAAGCTATTTGTTAAGTCGGGATATTATATTGTTAAAGGCAGCAGCATTTATAGTCGCATCAGCAAATGTCATACAGTATCAATTGACCCAAATTACGCAGCACGTATCAAATATTTTATAAAGAATTTTCTTAAATTATCTTCTGCATACTCTCAGTGTTGCAGCGTGGTTAGACCTGCCAGCACCTACATAAAATACATCCACTCACCCAAAATAATATTTTCACTCCATTGCGAACTGGAAAAGTGTTCCATCCATTTTAAAACAGCAATTAACTTTAAACAAGCGTGGCCAAGCTCAACATAATTAATTCATTGCCAAGCACCCAGAAGTGGCGCTCTATTCGTGGCCAGTTCGTAGCCAACTACACTCACTCCTACACACACACACACCTTAGGAGTACATATAGCCACTGGTGCTGAGCTGCTGACATGCCAATAGAAGTAACTATTCCATGAACGCGTGTTCCTGGTCGCCAGTTGCGCTACTTTCATCACCTTACATAATTTGTAGGAAGAGAATTTTCTTTATTGCTGAGCCAGTCTTGTGGGTAAGTGGATGAAAATGACTATGCGCTGTGGCAATTAAAGGACCTGTGCTGGATGCGCCATTGCCAGGACGACGTCTGGCTAGCAACGTTTAGATATTTACGCGTGTTCTCCATTAAAGCAATATTAATTCACTTGAAGACACCGTTGAAACAATGAGAATATTTAATAAATTCACCAATGACTCAACCTTGGCACAGCACTCAGAGCAAGCGCTCGCTCTATTTACGCTTGATTATAAATTCAACAATATTCAGAGTTCGTCTGGAATTCAGCTTTGTACGGTTCATATACCCTAACATAATGAAACACATGAAGGCAAATGCATACATTATAATGACCACTGATTTTGCTTATTAAAACTAATGCAATATGAGTATTAATTTTAAGTGTTCAATTATTAATAGTATGATTTTGATGATTGCATAGAATCCCATTGTTGTCTGGCACACTTATGTCCCTCTCTTTGCGTTTGTGAGGATTCAGAAAGTATATCCAGATAACGGGGCATTAGCTAATCAATCACTCTGAACTTAATTATTCGTACTTTCTATTCAACTTAAAGGGATTGCAGCTACCAAGCTCAAACTGATAATTCCATAAAATGCGCTACAGAAAAAAGCAACAAAAACCAAATACACAAAGGAACTGGAAAATAGAAATATGGAGCGTTGATACGGATATAACGATTCCATGCCATAGCGTTGACGATGATTTGCGGCAGCAGCAATTTATCAAACATATAATTCAGACCATGAACCGTAGCCGAGTGAAGAAGCAGTCGTAATTAAAGCAAACAACAGGGGGAAATACTTAAACTCATACGTTCACATACACACACACCCACACACACACACATGCAAGCACATACACATATTACGCACTCATGTTCATTGGCTAGTTGCCAGATGGTAGAGAGCAAAAACCAACATGGAGCAATGCATGAGAGAGCGTCCATCGCATCTGTCTCTGGCTCGGGAGCTAAACTTAACAACGAAGCGAAGCGAAACGAGGTACGGCTCCATTGTCAGCAGTTTTGGGCATATACCATCGAGCTACAGAGGGCCAACACAGCAAAAGGAAAAGCAAAACGCACGACAGTGCGTATGAGCAATTAAATATAATAAAGCGAGGCAGATGACATCCAGAAAAGAAAAGAAAAAAAACCAGACGCAAACCATCAACATTGGAAATTGTGTCGAAAATTTGCTCGAATGCTTTTGTGACTTACGTTAACAAACAGGGAACACCACACGACTACAGGCACGGTTTTATTCACATTGATTTCCTACTAAATACACAAAGTATGTGTGTGTGTGTGTGTGTGCGTGTGTACATTTAGGCCCTATTGTCATCATTGCAAAAGTTGAAAGTATTTATTATCTGCTCTTATTGCCAAAACATGTCAATATAGCTGCACATTAATATTAAATGTTTGTAATACACTGAAAGTGAAACAAATGTAAATTAAAGTGAATAATTTCATTTACCAAACAATTACGCATTTATAGGATTGATAATAAAACGAAACGTTTGTCTATATATTCTACAAATATTAGATATCAAAACCCGTACCATACTTATTTAAGCGTCGATGGGTGTAAATAATACTTCCGGATAAATGTGCCAAGTGTAACCTAAACTATTTTAATTTATATTTTATAATTAGGATTACATGATTGCAAACTATAAGTACATTGATTCACACTCCCTTTTCGTTTATATTTTACATCCATAATTATTAATTATTATTAGGCATTTTAAAATGAATATTTGTGCTTTTCAGATTTGGTAATGCGTTTATTTTAGAAATCGCATAACTGATTTTTCCCGAAAACTAAATGTAGCGTGTGGTCAAATCTCAAAATCTGGTTTTATTGAGTAGTTATGATTATCGATTGCTTAACAGACGCACGCTCGTCGTCCTGATTAGGAATATATATTATTTATGGAGTCGGAGATGCATCCTTCTGCCTGTTACACTTACACTTACAATTACACTCAAATATTATACCTATATGCTTATTTATAATGGGTTTGGGTCTTTGAATAGCTGCATACACGTACCTAAGCATGTTATTTTTCCATTTTGATTTCTGTCCATCCACCCTACTAATGTACTCGAAAGCTGTCTTGACTAGAGTATTCTTACTTCAATTCATATTTTGCTAATGAGTGTATGCTATTCTTTCATTTCAATTGCCATTTTCTCATTGTCTGTGGCTTGGCAACAATGTGCTTTAATAAAATACAATTGAGGAATACGCTTCTACTCAGTACCTTGAGGACAATGAGCAGACTCCATGCCCGAAACATGTCGAATGAGAAACGCCCCTTAAAAGTCCTTAAGTCATCTTTTGCAGAAGTCAATCGAGCAGACGTTCTGTTTTCGGCTTTTTGACTGTTTCTATGCTGTGGAGCATTGCAGGCATAAAGTGTGGGGAAAATTGTTGGGAACGTCAACAGATGCTGACCAAGAGCTCATTGCGTGCCCGGAAACTTTGTTAACCGAAAATGTTGGCTTGTTGTTCAATGTTTTTTAGGTACAGCTTGGCATTTTGAACGTGAATTCTTAGTGTGCGCCCTATTTCGATAAACAGTCCGGAGCAGAGGTCATTCAGTTGGTAGTCCAATTGACTTTGTGCAAGACAATTAATTGAAGTAGTGCAATTATGACAACCTTTGAAGGAAAGAATTTCTTAGTTTTTGGCTAATTGGCACATGACTCAGCCAACCTACAACCTTTTGTATATGGATAAGCTATTCTTTGGCACTTTGAATGCTAAAACTAAATGGATTTCAGGCAAAACAGTGCGTTTTAGTTAATTGTATTATTCTCTGAATTGGACTGCAAGGCTACTTAGAGTAAAACAATCCCATGGCTGATATAATTAGGTAACAGCGTCCAAACAACGTGTGCAAGGCTCTAACAAAGACGACGATCAAAATGCAGAGCTTAAGAGTACATCACATTTATGTTACTTTTGCACCATATACTATCCGGGCATATAGTAAAGAAATACCTGTGAAATTCGTTTATTTGACGAGCAAAGGCAATATGCTGTGATGCAGCATTTGCTCTCGCCGTGCGAGTCTAGACTAAGGGTCATGGCAACATTTATTTCGCATGAGTGTTTAAAGCTTAAATCCGTAAACATTTTGTGCTTACCCCACGGGACATGCAGACATGCGTACATGCGGGGTCAGCGGGCAACTAAAGTGTTCGCTCCCAATGTGGTGCGGCTCATCAGGCAACAGCCTCTGTCTGTGGAATTTTTCAACCATTTTCAAGGCAGACATCTGCTTTTAGATCAAAGGGT